GTAGTGTATCACCAACAGACATGAAAGTTTCTGTGTATCCGTAGTGTATCACCAACAGACATGAAAATTTCTGTTATATCCGTAGTGTATCACCAACAGACATGAAAGTTTCTGTGTATCCGTAGTGTATCACCAACAGATGAAAGTTTCTGTGTATCCGTAGTGTATCACCAACAGACATGAAAGTTTCTGTTGCATCTGTAGTGTATCACCAACAGACATGAAAGTTTCTGTGTATCCGTAGTGTATCACCAACAGACATGAAAGTTTCTGTTGTATCCGTAGTGTATCACCAACAGAAATGAAAGTTTTTGTTGCATCCGTAGTGTATCACCAACAGACATGAAAGTTTCTGTTGCATCCGTAGTGTATCACCAACAGACATGAAAGTTTCTGTTGTATCCGTAGTGTATCACCAACAGAAATGAAAGTTTCTGTTGCATTCGTAGTGTATCACCAACAGACATGAAAGTTTCTGTGTATCCGTAGTGTATCACCAACAGACATGAAAGTTTATGTTGCATCTGTAGTGTATCACCAACAGATATGAAAATTTCTGTTGCATCCGTAGTGTATCACCAACAGAAATGAAAGTTTCTGTTGCATCCGTAGTGTATCACCAACAGACATGAAAGTTTCTGTTGCATCCGTAGTGTATCACCAACAGACATGAAAGTTTCTGTTGTATTCGTAGTGTATCACCAACAGACATGAAAGTATCTGCTGTGTTCGTAGTGTATCACCAAAAAACATGAAAGTTTCTGTTCTTTTGAATTTTGATCAATACAGTTCTTTCCTACAAAGGTAATGTCGAGCTTTGGATATGAAATTCCGTTGTTCGCACCTTGTTATGCCCCCCTCCCCCAAATAAAGATCGCGCTCCGCACTTTGGCACAGTAATGTTATAAGAATGACTGTCAAGTCCTATTATTCGATTAGACTAGTCCATAAGTTGGCTAGTTGCCTATCCCATATTTTATCATTTCAAAATTAAGGATGGTTGGAATAGCTTTGCGCAAAATTCAACGGACAAATGCTTGGAACTGAAATAACTAATGTGCAGCTATAAATTTTATGTTTTTCAAAATTTGAACTCCAGAAATCAATTGCAATTTTCCTCTTCGCCACTGTTTGCTATCGGTTGTCAATGTAATTCATAATTTTCAATTTGCTATGTGAATGGGTCTACTAATTTGGATTTCTGGGCTGCATGTGGGTATGATTTCCAACAGCATTGATTCCAGGAGTAATAGATGTTAGACTCTGAGAATAGATTGTGGATAAAGAGCCAGATTCTGAAGTCTAACAATTCGGGTGTCTTGGTTGCAAGTTATGACGAATCTGGACTCCTAAAAACACTGGTTCCAAGTGTACCAGTTGTTAAGAATCTGAGAATAGATTGTGGATAAATAAGGAAATTCCGAAACTGTATCCTTTCTCCTATTAGTTTCTCGAGGTCTACCTTAAAAATTTCTTTGCTCTGGTCCTTCAAATTTTGCCATTTGTTGAAAGATCACAGGATCCAAGTAAATAGCTTTCGGTACCTGGCTTAGGGATTTGGTATCGGCTGTCATCAAGGTGCTTCGTCGTTATTTCAGTGAGCTCACCGGTTTTCATAGTAGTAGTAGCAACAGTTTGATGTATGAGCAGGAGCAATAGGACAAAATTTTGAGAGCCGTCTCTATATGATATATACGTGACATCGTTCGAACCATTTTTAAAAATTGTGTATCAAGATTTTGTTAAGTAAAATATGTTTTTGTTTCACAATGTATAAAACAAATATCGTATATTTTATAGCAACTTAACTTACCAGTGTCGCGACGTCAGCTCCACCAGCACTCGGAAACTAAAAACAATGATGAAATGTGACTACACCATTGATCGATATGACGGAATTGAATCGTGAGAAAGCCTACTTACAACAGACATCGTGTTTTGCTGTCCCTCAAACTATTTTTTGTACGGATTTGATTATAAAAGTAAAACTAGAAAAAGCTTTACAGCCTGATTGGTACTATTTTAAATAAATAAATCATTTATACAAGTATTCAAACACTGAAATGACCAAAAGCTTGTACTAAACATGATCATTTTCAAGGTCCTTAAATCATGGCGAAGACATAAGTTGTTTCAACCTTTATTGTTGGATAGATCTTGGATGTTTGTACTCCAACTGAGAATTAGCAAGTAACTAACTTATAGAGCAAAACATTTAACAGCCTGGAAGATTTGCACGTAGTAAAAGTGGTTAAGCCTCTTTCTTAAAAAAACTATTTGTTAGTACACAACATTTTATTTGGAAAACAATTACTTAAACTTAGACATTTCTGAAATACTTGTGAAATGAAATTTCAAAATAAATAACCAAAGCAAATATATCAATTCATACGCTGAATCCTCATGCAACCACAAGCTTACATTTCCTTTTCTTCTTTTTCCTCTTACATTTTCGATTCTTCCGTTTCTCCCGATTTTCACGGTTGCACTGCTTTCTACGTCGGCGACGTCTCCTTCGGCGCTTCCTTTCACGGCGGCGGTTTTTCTTTTTACTCTCTTCAGTAAAGGCACGATCCGCTTTATCTCCAGCTTCCATTTGGCGGCGCGTCACAGTTGACGTGGGCATGTCTGCTAGCATGACCGATAATCTGGTGGAATAAAACATTCTAATGCTTAAATATGTCCAGTATGCTGCAATAATGTCCGATTATTATGAAAGATGTTTATAAAGTGAAGTGTGTAAATTTCTTGTGGATTCAACTTGCTATAGACTTCTTCTGGTATTTTTTCTGGATTTTGAGATGACGTTTTGGGCTCTATGCTGAATTCTTTGTCAAGTCCGCCGAAGGACTTAGTATGGAGCCCCAGTTTTTCATTGATAAGGATGCCATTTTCGTATATACAAGGATATTTTCGGTATAATTTAATATCACAGGAAAGATCGGTAAAACATTTGAATTTTAAATAAATATCAAAGCACCATAAGAGGAAGTCTAAATGGACAAAATTCTATAAAGATGTTTATATTTCTAAGTTTTCGATAAGGTTTCGCTTGTCGAGACACAACTGAGGTGATTAAGGATGAAAGTTTTTACATTGTACAAAAAATAATGAATCATTTGTTCACCTTCAAAGCATTGTAAACATTGTTATGTAGAAAGGCAGTTTTTGCATTATGTTTATGCTTAAAATTAATAACTTACACAAAACTGAAAACTGGTTTACAAATGTTTATGATGCAAGGCGAAGATGATCCTTTGCCCCTAAAAGGGTTAAGCTACTATCCTGGCTCCTAGGGTTCTTTGTTCGCTCTTGTATGTCAGAATATTTGGCAATCCCTGAATATTACAGTGTAAATAAAACATAACACAAGATTACACAAACTGAGCACCACAATAATAATCGATGTAAGAAAGATATTGAGGTAAGTTAAACCTTCCCAGCGTGCTTGAGAAGCAAGAAAAATTCGACTTAGTCCACGCTTTCCAAAACTGACGTTTTTGTTTATAGATGACTTATAACTGTTACAGCAAAAAGGCAAGACAAAGGTTCACTGATTTTTGACAATTTCCTATCCACCAGCTTAACAATAAAAATACGTCGTGATTATACGACGAGTTTCACTAAAAACTGTCAAGATGCTTAAGAAAGAAGTAATGAAATAGCCAGTGTACAACAAAAGTTAAATTTGCTATAAAAATATTTGTAATTATACAAAAATACCAAACTTAATATTATAATCGAACTATTCCTAATTACAGAAACTAAACGCTTCAACCGATAATATCTGTGTACAGCTGGCGAATATTCCTAATTACAGAAACTAAACGCTTCAGCCGATAATATCTGTGTACAGCTGGCGAATATTCCTAATTACAGAAATTAAATGCTTCAACCGATAATATCTGTGTACAGCTGGCGAATATTCCTAATTACAGAAACTAAACGCTTCAACCGATAATATCTGTGTACAGCTGGTAAATTTCTTCTTCGAATTTTGAAAATTTAATTTCAATTTTAACTATGTAATTATGAGGTACTAAGTTATTTTACGAAACTATAAGCAAACAATTCTTACTTGTATGCCGGTGTCAACTTTCTTTATTTAATTTGGTTACAATTCTAGTAATGTAAAATATTTTTATCCTAGATTCATTAGTTAAAAATCTAACATTTGGTAACTAGTTCCGTGAGATGAAATACAACTGAGCAATCACTCAGCCTTCGCAACCATAGTGGCCTCAAGTGAAACATAGATTAAAGTGGCTCGTTTTAACAGGGGTCATCTCTAGACCTCGATCTCGACATTTCGATTTTTCATTCCATGTAAAAAAAACTATCTGATGACAGCCAATCACAGCAGGCTGTTTCACGTTAGTTACGAGTGTTTCAGAATTTTGTTAGAAGTATGTGGATTACTTACAAACTAATGGTATAACTACATGACAAGTTAGACCATCATCACTAATTCGATGACGAGGAACCCACTTTGAGACTAATGATGCTTGGAGACGGCTTGAATGAGTAATAAAGAAAAACTTTAATATAAGTTTAACATAACAACAAATGTACAACGTTTCGACAAGGTTCTGTCATCAACAGGTACAAGTAGCTCACACTGATACAGATATACATGTATATATATATATATATATAAGGTAGTTAAATCTAAGTAATTCCAGTAGGTCTGCCACATGGTAGTTAGATCTAAGTAAGTCCAGTGGATCTGCCACATGGTAGTTAGATCTAAATAAGCCCAGTGAATCTGCCACATAGTAGTTAGATCTAAGTAAATCCAGTGGATCTGCCACATAGTAGTTAGATCTAAGTAAATCCAGTGGATCTGCCACATGGTAGTTAGATCTAAGTAAGTCCAGTGGATCTGCCACATGCTAGTTAGATCTAAGGAAGTCCAGAGGTTCTGCCACATGGTAGTTAGATCTAAGTGGATCTGTCACGTGGTAGTTAGTTCTAAGTAAGTCCAGTGGATCTGTCAAGTGGTAGCTAGAGCTAAGTAGGTCCAGTGGATCTGCCACATACACATATAAACTAATGTTTATAAAGTTGTGATATTGTCTCGAAACTCAACATGGAAAAATTTAATGTTTGAAATGTCAGTATTTCTTAGTGTGTTTTTTTTTTTGTTACACTACTTATAAGAACTTAAAATGTTTCATAATTTTATAATGTCTTTCGGTAGGAATTACCGTAAAGTATTGTATAATCTATTTAGGTATGATTGTAATTGAAAAGTTTATATACTTATTTTAGAACTATGACCTGTATTATCATACGATTTTGATTATTAATAGGTTTGAGATATAGTAATCCAAAACTTACTTGTTGCTATTATCTATGTATTTATTATCTCAGAGGTTTTATCAACAAATCTCTTTTTATTGATTTCATACCATATCCCTGTTAATTATTAATTTTCATTCCAAAGAATAAACCCAACAACTAAACTCCCCAGAATAATGTTATACACCCACAGTTTCTGTAACCCAAAAATATAAACCCAACAACTAAATTCCCCAGAATAATGTTATGCACCCACAGTTTCTGTAATCCCAACAATTAAATTCCCTAGAATAATGTTATACACCTACAGTTTCTGTAACCCCAAAACATAAACCCAACAATTAAATTCCCCAGAATAATGTTATACACCCACAGTTTCTGTAACCCCAAAATATAAACCCAACAACTAAACTCCCCAGAATAATGTTATACACCCACAGTTTCTGTAGCCCCAAAATATATACCCAACAACTAAACTCCCCAGAATAATGTTATACACGCACAGTTTCTGTAACCCTAAAATATATACCCAACAACTAAACTCCCTAGAATAATGTTATACACCCACAGTTTCTGTAACCCCAAAATATAAACCCAACAACTAAACTCCCCGAAATAATATTATATTCATAGTTGTGTGTGTGTGACCACAAAATGTAACCCTAACAACTAAACACAAAATATACGTTTATAAAACGTTCATCATACCAGTACCTGAATATGCCAGTCCAGCGTGGATAGACGTAACTAAAAAAAAACCTCTCTGGATTAAAAAAAAAAACACGCATTAGAAACTCGTTATTATGTGTAGCCTATAAAGCACCAAAATTTTAACTTTCAGGTGTTATGAGATAGACTTGAACAACATTCGGTAAGCTATTTCAAAAATAACCCAAATGGAAACATTCTCTTAAAAGAACTAAACCGTTTTATCATACCTAATGGCAGTATCACTTACATCAACTCTAATGTACTGTAAAGTGTAGGTTGCATACTAGTATACATTAGCCATTAACACAACTGAGGCGATGTTATTAGTGGAAGATATCAAAGAAGAATACGTACTAATATGTACTGATGTAGACTTATATTTCAAAGATACATTTGACCACATAGTTAGAGTTGCACAGCCTGTTCAATTAGAACTTTCAATGCCGAGAGTTGTTATTTCGACAGATGCACCGAACTATGTTTTGATGGATTATAGATACCGGAACGTTTTAAAAGAGATATTTTAATGCATTTGGCTTCATTGCACATAGCCATGGACAAAGGTTGAAAAGGACCAGTTGGTTTATAGAAATCGATTCTATTCATGATCATTGGATCATGGAAGGATATACTAAAGACACGAGCATACATCCTATATCATGGAAGAAGATATCATTCCAGTTAACCTGAACCTCATAGGCCAACTAAACTGTTCTGACCTAAGTCCCTGTCCAGAATTCCAATTAACCTGAACCTCCTAGGCCAACTAAACTGTTCTGACCTAAATCCCTGTCCAGAATTCCAGTTAGCCTGAACCTCCTAGGCCAACTAAACTGTTCTGACCTAAATCCCTGTCCAGAATTCCAGTTAACCTGAACCTCATAGGCCAACTAAACTGTTCTGACCTAAGTCCCTATCCAAAATTCCAGTTAACCTGAACCTCCTAGGCCAATTAAACTGTTCTGACCTAAATCCCTGTCCAGAATTCCAGTTATCCTGAACCTCCTAGGCCAACTAAACTGTTCTGACCTAAATTCCTGTCCAAAATTCCAGTTAATCTGAACCTCCTAGGCCAACTAAACTGTTCTGACTTAAATCCCTGTCCAAAATTCCAGTTAATCTGAACCTCCTAGGCCAACTAAACTGTTCTGACTTAAATCCCTGTCCAAAATTCCAGTTAACCTGAACCTCCTAGGCCAACTAAACTGTTCTGACCTAAATCCCTGTCCAGAATTCCAGTTAGCCTGAACCTCCTAGGCCAACTAAACTGTTCTGACCTAAATCCCTGTCCAAAATTCCAGATTTTCTATTGCTTATCCAAATAAACTCGATCTTTGAGATCTTATACCAATATTTATCGAAAGTGATTCAATCAGTTTCTCACAGCAACCTCTAACACTAAACAGGCGGACAACTTTGCTTTATATATATTTATATATTTACAAACTTTCAGTTATCTTAATAAAATCGATAACTATCTCACAATCAAGATATATCAAGCCTCTGCCGTTGCTTACATCGTGTTCTGACTGTTCTAATAGCAACTCAAAACTTTCTAGAACTACTTTTCAACTCCTTGATTACATCATGTGCTGATTTTTGTAATACCAGCTCACAACTTTCTGAAATTGCGTCTCAACTCTGTGCTTACCAAAGACCGTTCAAAAATTAAAAAATACAAATGCCTAGAACATAGGGAATTCTTAAGACACTCAAGAATATTGTGGCCTAGTGAAAAGACGAAGTCAGGCCTTGCTTCTTATAAGAAATTCCTAATTTCTATTAAATCGAAATCAAAGATGTCTACTGTAAAGGGGGTGTGGCAAAGCGAGTTTATAATGCATTACAACACATGAGCGTTTAAATGTAAATCTAATTAACGATCGAAAATATACAACAACCAGAACATTACAGGTGTGATCCTTAGCATAATAGAAGCTATTTATCTTCAAATCTCCAGTTTACCTGATGACTAACTAATGTATGGCATGCTGAACTGAATTCAATAAAATAAACTAGAATTACTATAGTGAACACTTCTTAATGTCAAGAGAAATTTCTGTGAAGATAGCAATTTCTGGATCTATTTTTTATGTGATATATTGCCTTGTATCGACCTTGATTTTGAGTTTATCAAACATTTTTTGGATTTATCAAAACAGATGAAATTTTTGAAAAACGCCCGATTTATTGTGCCACAATGTTGAAAATATCAAAGTTCGATAACTGTGAGAGTCTACAGGGTGATACAAAGTTTCCAACTCAGTATCTTCTCTGATTTCTAGTAGCTTATGTTAGGGAGATATAATGTTGCCAACTCAGTATCTTCTCTGATTTCTAGTAGCTTATGTTAGGGAGATATAATGTTGCCAACTCAGTATCGGTTTTGATTTGTAGCAGCTTTTGTAAGACCGATAGAATATTGCCAACTCAGTACTTCTCTGATTTCTAGTAGCTTATGTTAGAGAGATATAATATTGCCAACTCAGTATCGGTTTTGATTTGTAGCAGCTTTTGTAAGACCGATAGAATATTGCCAACTCAGTATCTTCTCTGATTTCTAGTAGCTTATGTTAGAGAGATATAATATTGCCAACTCAGTATCGGTTTTGATTTGTAGCAGCTTTTGTAAGACCGATAGAATATTGCCAACTCAGTACCTTCTCTGATTTCTAGTAGCTTATGTTAGAGAGATATAATATTGCCAACTCAGTATCGGTTTTGATTTGTAGCAGCTTTTGTAAGACCGATAG